CTAAAATGGATTTTCTTGATATCCTTTCTCTTTCTCACTCCAGTCATCAAGTGCTACCAATTTTACCTTTTTCTCTCCTACCTCTTCATAGATGCTTCTATTAAAAATTATTTTTTGCATATTATCATGGTCGTGTGGGTATCTTTCTGAGATAGGAAGTTGCTTAAGGACAGGGATCAAGTCTTACTATCCCAGAACAGGTCTCCCTGTTAGATGCTCTGTAAATATTTGCTGACTGGCTGGGTGTGGTGGCCCATGCCTGTGATCCCAGCACTTGGGAAACTGAGACATGAGGATTCCTGTGAATTTGAGGCCAGCCTGGGCTACATAGTGAGTTCAAGACCAGGCTGAACTAAATAGCAAGACCCTGTCTTAAAAAAACAAAACAAACAGAAAATATTTGCTGAATGAATCGATGTAATGTAGTCATTTGCTCCATGGTCACCTCTAAAATTTGCTGGCCTGAAATTCTTTGTTTATTTTTTCCTGGTACTTGATTTACACTAACCATCAAGCTTGTCCTCTAAGTCTGCACAAAAATCTAGCTCAGATATAATTGAGTGTGGTTGCTGGCACTGGGATATTTTTCCCAACCCTCCTCTCCCCTCACTGCCTCTCAGCAGAGCTACAGAAAATTGAGAATTGATCTCTGGTATGGCTTCCTTTTTGTATCACTCAGTGTGCAAGAGGTGCTGTCCTCCGCGACACAATTTACTGCCCAATTGATTTTTACTCTTCCTTGTGTCTTCCTTAATCCTACAGTAGTTAAATTCTCCCGTTACTGTTCATTTGTTCCCTGTGCCTCTTTCAGTCCTTCAATCAATGGAATAAGTTTGCTAGACATGAGGAAGGCCTGTATTTTGATAACAATCAACTGCTCAGCTCCCTTCCCTAAGAGATCTGAGTTCTAGAAGGTGCTGTTCACATCTTCTTTGACCTCAAGCCCCCACAGCCAGCACATGGCCTGGTGCAAAGACACTGGTAACTCAGGGTTGGGGACTCAGAGCTGTGGTACTTGGGAAAGCCTCATTCTGTCATGCGTACTGTTCCTCCAGAGTTCCATTTTCTTTCTTTTCATTTTGAAAGTCAGATTGCTTGTGACTGTTTCCACACTGGCTAATTTGCGCAGAAAAAAGGAAAAACACCAAAATGACAAAAAGAACCTTGAGGTTGATATTCACCTGTTTGCCTGGTATTCTGGGGATCTAGAATTAAATTTTCCATTTCTCCAGGAACACATTAATAAGTGAGAGGACTAGGAGAGCTCATTCAGAATCCAGCCCTTTCCTGCTATGAAATCCTGCCCTGTTCTAGAGACACCTAAAGCACTCATTTCCGTTTGCATTTGTGTACTTGTCCTCCCAGCCAAATCCCACCTGAATTTTAGAGCATCCTTATTTGACACCTTTGGTCTTTGCTGTGGGTGCCATTGCAGACACCGTTGGCCCTGCAGTTGATAAATGGCTTCCTGACTTGCTGTTGGGTACAGAATTTCCTCCTGAATCCCCATTCATGAGCTTCAGCTGCTATTTTTTCCCCATAGCCAGAAGTTCGTCTCTGCAAACACAGGAGTGTTTTTTACTTTTCTTTCTCTAAGCTCGGAATGAAAAAGTATAGTCCTAATGATGATTTTTAACTTATGTGACATGCCCTTCTGCTGACAATCTATTTGCCTTTCTAACCTGGGCAGAGATGACCCTCTTCCTGCTCTTGGGGCTGTGCTTCCTGAGCAAGCTTGAATTTTATGTTGCTTAGCAAGTAGGCTTTTTTAAGATCGGTGGAATCATACACACTCACGTCTTTGTCACTTTAGTGCCCAAAGTGCTAAAATCGTACATTATTCACAAACTCTAAGTGAGAGAGAAAGAGAGAGAGAGAGAGAGAGAAAGAGAGAGAGAGTATTTAGCATGCTGGCACCAGAAAGGAAGGAAAAAAGTGCTAAGAAAATCCATGGAGTTGTAACCTGGGCATTATTACAGATGTACCGTAAGTGGTGGGATTTGTTTCTTTTTGTAAATGCATCTGTTCATCTGATTTTAACCAGGAAGAAAAGAGGGGAGTTAGAACTTAGATACTTACAACTGTTCTTTTGCATTGCCATTGAAGAAGGATGATGAGTCTCTTGGAATGCTTTGCCCAAGACTCATATTTTTTTCTTCGAGTATTTCTATACCACATACATACTGGATCAAAATTTAGAATTAGTTTTTTTTTCAGATGGATGAAATTATCTGCCATAGACCCAGAGATAAGAAAAGTATGTTACCAAGGGTCTGCTCCTAGATGAATGCATGGGTTGAGCAGAGGTGGGTGGAAGGGAAGAGCAGACCCACTCAACTTGGCCTGTCATCTAACTAGGAGCCACGTAACCCTTCATAACTTTGCTGTGAAGAAATCGACGCTGTCAAGTGCTTGGTGTCTGAAGTGTGCAGCAGTATCCTTACAAACCCGTGCGAGACACTCCCTGAGGGGTGTGCCATGCCGCGGACCCAGTGCAGCCACTTACTGCAAAGTGGACCACTCCTTGGGTTATTTGCTTTGGCCTCTGGGTGGATTTGTGGATTGTGCACAGATCTCTAGCAGCAGAACCTGACTTTGGCTTGTTGGTTATAGAATTTCTATTCTGCAGAGCTGAGATTGCATGCCAGGACCAACACCAGCTAGAGGACCCAGGCTTTTCAGGGATGCTGGCCGGCTATGCTTAACCTGCAGCTCAGAGCTGTTCACAGGAGAGGCAGATGCACGCTGCCCTTCACTGTGCGTGCGTGTTAAGCAGAAACTTGTCTTAAGGGCTTAAATAGAAAACATCTCCGAACAATCCATGAAACGGTAAACAAAGCTGCTATTGAAAGAAAGAATGAAAAGTTGACGGTGGGATTATTATGAGCCTGAGTGGGTTCATCAGCAAGGGTAGAGCAATAAAGAAAAAGGAGCTAAAAGAACCGGGTGAAATGAATTCAGTGTGTCATTCCTTTCTTCCTTTGTCTTTAGTTTACACCTGGTAATGAACGCGTGGAAGCTTGGCGAGATTGTTCAAGTTTCCTTTTGTTTTGTGGATGTGTGTGTGTGGGGGGGTTGTTTACAGTTTCCATAGGGCTTTCCTCAGTTGTGAGGGCTGTGAATTGGTGGGGAGGGGGACGAAGAACAAGAGAAGAGCCTACATCCCTAGTTTGGAGTCAGGAGGAGGTGGCCCCACAATCAAGGAGGCTGCTCTGTCTTTGTTTTGCTTTTCCAGGAGGCCAGTGGGATGGATGGTCCCAGTTTCATCAAATACGGGTTTTACACAACCCTCCATGTCCTGCCTGGGGGAATCATGCTTTGGGAAATTAAGTGTCCGTCAAATCAGGAGGAGGCTTGTACAGTTTTGCTTCCCTTTCCCCCTTGCTTTCTGAATGGTTTAAGAAAAGAGCCCTTTGTTTTCTTTTCAAGGAAAGTTACACTGAAATTCTTCTGTGTGGTATTCACAGACCTCATCTGTGTTGCTCACAGGCAGCTGTGGGTTTTGTAGAACGCTGAATTCCGAACCTCCATATTCAAAGCAGGGTGTTGGGGAAAGGTCCAATACCTTTCTTTTATTCCCTCACTCCTCTCTCTTTTAATTTTTGTCTTATTTTATTTTCTCTCTCCCTACCATTTTCAGTGTAAAGGGCTCTGAACTCTCCCCTCCTCCCAGCCAGATCAGGTTTCTCTACCGCAAGCCATGGAGGCTCCTCGGGTTAAGATCTGTGTCTGTCATTTCCGACATTTTCCTCGGATTTGCAGACTTTAAAATACCTTTCAGAGAACTTGTTTGGAATTTCATTTTAATGGGATTTATGAATAAATCTCCATCTTAATGCTGACTAAGCTTTAAGCATCCATTCCAGGAGAACACCATTGGACTTTTATATTTTAAAATTTAAATCACTCGACTGTGAAGGCATAAAACATTTTTATATTTATGTGAATGCCGTGTGCTCGAACATTTCTGTTAAAGACTTGATTTGTAAAAAAAGTTTTGGTTAGTGTAAATGACTCTGGGCTGCAAAGGAGAAGCTATTGCATCACCCCTTCCCGTGCCTTGTAGACTCCTGGGTACACTGTGCGGGTTTATTTAGCTCACCTATGAGGACCGGTGTTTGGTGACAACTTGTTGCAACGCTGCAGTTTCCTTTAAATAAAGCAGTTTACTTTCTTCCTTTGCTTTGAAACCTTTAACCTCAAAATTTTATTTTTAAATACCATGAGCCCTCAAAGTCAGACGCAAAGAGGTGGCACTTCCTCCTTACATGGTTTCCCAGATCTGCATCATAGAATGTGAGCGAAGGTGAGAGATGGGATCACAGCCATCCACCTCAAAAAGAAAAAAATACAGCTAATCAGATGATGCTGGTCAAAGGGTGCAGACTTTCAGTTAGGGGAGAAGCAAGCACTGAGGGTCTAAGATACAGCAGGTGACTACAGTTAATAATACTGTATCGTGCACTTTAAATGTGCTAGAATCTTAAATGTCCTCACCAAACACCAAAAAAATGATAATCTTGGGAGGTAACGGATGTGTTAGTTAACTTGTAATCATTTCACTGTCGACGTCTGTCAGATCATCATGGTGTACACCTTAAATACGGACATTTTTAATTTGTCCAGTAAGCCTCAATGAGACTGAGGGGGGACGCCAACAGTGAGGGCCCTCAAGCAGCAACCTCTGTGACCTCTGCACCCCACGTCATTGTGCCCATCTCTCCACAGACTCATCCTACTCAGAGCCCCCAGATGTTCAGCAGCAGTTGAACCACTATCAGTCAGCTGCCCTGGCCAGAAACAATAGCCGAGTTAGCCCTGTGCCTCTTTCTGGAGCCGCTGCTGGCACTGAGCAGAAAACAGAAGCTGTTCTGCACTGCGAATTCTGTGAATTCTCCTCTGGCTACATCCAGAGCATTAGGCGCCATTATCGAGACAAGCACGGAGGAAAGAAGCTTTTCAAGTGCAAAGACTGCTCCTTTTATACAGGCTTTAAGTAAGTGGCGTGAAGAGCAACTGTGAGAAACAGTGGCTGCCCCTGCTCCACCCCTCACTGCATCCTTCCCTTATACTTTACTAGCTGGAGTGCAAGGAAAGCCATGCCCATGGGATGATGTGGAGGTTGGGTCGAGTCGTCATTAAAAGGAGGAAGGCTACTTTGGGATTTGTGGAAGGGATGAAGAGCTAAATCAGAGCAAATGGGCTCCCAAACAGTAGGAAATAGCAACAAGGAATTTTCCTGGCCTCTTGCATAGAAAAGTATTTTCCCTTCAGAGAAAACACACGCGCGCACACACACACACACACACACACACGTTTTATATACAGTATGTATATACTTGGAAAACAAAGTCAGGAGAAAAAATCCAGCAACGCTCACCTCTCTGCTGTTCTTGTGGGAAATTCTTCTTTAAGACTATAGTATTGAAAGAACCAGACTCAAGACCACAGCACTGCAGACTAGACTTGAGCCATCATAGACAGATTAATCCACATTCACCTTTGCTCCAGTGTAGGACAGAATTGGTGACTTCTGTGAAAAAACATTAGTGCTTTCTACCATAGAATCTAAACTTCTCTTGTGATTTAATCTCACCTTATGAGATATCATTTAAGTTAGTGGTTGGAGGTGTAAAATGTGGAGCCTGACTGCCAGAGTTTGAATCCCAGTTTTGCCACTTGGTGGGTGTGTGACCTTAGAGATCAGTCACAGAACATCTCTGAGTCTCCATTTCCTTATCTGTGAACTAAGGATAACAATAATATCTACTTTATAGGGCCCTTATGCACAGTAAATGAATCAGGGTATCCTGAAGTGCTTAGAATAAACACTGACAAGCACTATATATTATAATAGATAGAAAGTTATGATACCATAACACCAGTACTACACTCCACATTTAAAACAATTATTATCTACTCCTGTTGCAATCAGGACCTGAACCTTAGACCATTTCAATACAGGCTTTGCACATAGAGGCAATAGAAACGATAGACTTCATGTCCCACAAGAAAGATGAAACCTTTCCCCAAACATCTGAGTTGCTGGGCTTTGATGGAAACTGTGAGGTCTCTGACTATTAATTTGGTCCAGTTACTTTTCAGATGAATATGTTTGTAATTTAGAACAGAGAACAGGCTAAACGACACAATGACCAGGTTCACTTCCAGTGTGCATATCTCTCTAGAGAAAAGCACAGGATCTGACAAGCAGGGGTCCTTGCCCGTTAAATTCTTGGTTTGATCCATTTTTATGAGACATGTATGGGTTTGTAAATGCTGAGGATTTGGAGAGCAAGGAGATAGAGGTGACAGGACCCTGAAGCTAGTGCAGCTGTGTGAACTGACTCTACCTGCTCGTCAGTCACCATGACCTAAACAACTTGTTCTCTTTTTATCCGAGAAGACTCATGTAGGGAGTTTGTAAAACAGCCAAGCTTTAAAGTTTGCAGGCGTGGGTGCACACCTGTAATCCCAGCACTTGGGCGGCAGAGGCAGGAAAATCGCTACCAGTTCGAGGCCAGCCTGGGCTACATAGTAAGTTCAAAGCCAGCCTGAACTGCATAGCAAGACCTTGTCTCAAAAACAAAGCAAAACAAAATCAAATCAAATAATCCTTCTCCGAGTGATGGGAAATATTCTTGTTGGGGATTTCCATGAAGGTGTTTAGGGACCATAATGTTTTCTAAATCAAACCCTGATCCCAGCCAACCGGCAAAATTTAAAAAAAAAAACATTGCCGCCATATTTGTGTGTTTGATTATTGCTTGAGTGACCAAGGAACTTGCTGATAACCTTATTTTTGGTCCCTCAAGCAAGAAAGTCATGCTTGTTGAGCTGTGGTGGTTCTGCTAGCAGGAGATATGTGAAAGAAATGACCTCTTGTCAAACTCACCTCCTGTCTCTTCAACCTCTCTCCTAGATCTGCTTTTACTATGCACGTGGAAGCCGGGCATTCGGCGGTTCCTGAGGAGGGCCCCAAAGATCTCCGCTGTCCTCTCTGCCTCTATCACACCAAATACAAGCGCAACATGATCGACCACATTGTGCTGCATCGAGGTAACCTTCTTCCTTTCTTCCTTTGGGTGCCAGTGGGAGGAACGCATAGTAGTATTCCAGACACTGTCTCGAGACCGCAACAGAACCACTTCAGCCTCGGTTCCTTGTTCTTCCAGGTAAGAAACCCTAGTGGTAAGCACCATGACAGCCCACAGAGTCAGAGCACCTCCCGCTGAAAAGGGATTCCTCCACGTGGAGGGAGGCAAAGGGAATGGATTCTGCAGTGAACACCTCCACAGGGCACATTCTGAATCCTCTGCCATCCAAACCATGTGTAGGATGTACCTAAGGAAGGAAGGAGAAAACTGTGGGTGAAGGCAAAAGTCACATTTGAAGAGCTACTGTATACACTTGTAAGCACTTATTTTGAGAAAGATCAAAACGACCTCTTCCAAAGCAAAATATGGAATTTCCCTTGAAATGGACAGAGAGAAAAAATTCTTGATGACTTTTTGTTTTTTTCCCCCGGTACCGGGAATCGAACTCATGACCTTGCACTTGCTGGGCAGGCGCTGTGCCGCTGAGCTAAATCCCCAGTCCGAGAGAAAGAATTCTTAAGAAGTAAAAGTGGGCTGATGCATAGTAGACAACCCACAGATTGAGCACTGAACTGAAATTCTGGTTCTGAATCCTATGCTATTTAACCTCTTACCTGTGGAGATGATTATACCCATGATGTAGTGGGTAAAGAACTGCTCCAGAAATGTTAGTTCCCACTACTCAATAGGATACTTCCCTGAAGTCTGCTTTGGGTTTTGTTTGTGTTGAATTTACTGTTGGCCAGTAAAAAACATTGCTAAACATCAAGGTGCTTTGGCATTGGAAGAAAAACAGAATGTGTTTATATGGGATCTGCTTTGTCCTGAAAAGATTCAAGCTGCAAGGAACTGGAGAAAGATTATTAGAATATCCATTGCCAGTCTTGCTTTCCATTTCCAACTACTGGTCTTTCCCTCTCCTCTTTGTTCCTTCCCTCCTTGTTTTCTTCCTCTTCCTTCCTGTCATACTTCCTTTGTTTTTAACCTTGGGTAGCTTTTCAACCTTTATCACAAAGACCTCAAAAGCAGTAAGTGGCCTCTGCTTTCCTGCTGAGATGTCCCTCCCTGTGAAATCTGGGTATTTGGAGGGCAATTTAAAGTATCTCATGTCTTCTCTGAGCTACTGCTTTTGTCCAGTACATTTTGTGACCTACGCCTATGCACTGCAGACTCCATAGAAGGCTCAACATTTAGCATCCTCCGGTTTCCCTCCTCCTTGTTGCACGCTAATGAGACGTGAGATTGTTGCTGGCTAGGATGTCTACCTGCAAGCTGGGAAGAGCAGCATAGCAACATTTAGGCGGGAATTCTTGGCCAGAGTGGTCCTGCCTGGTGTTCCGCCTCAGTCACCTGGCTTCCGGTCCCCCAGCCCATGTGTTGCTGTGGCTCTGTGCCCTGTCACAGCTTGGGTGGAGGCCAGGAGTGGCGGTGCTGGCAAGCAAGCAGGAACGATGAGTCTTCCATTTCTGTGGTTGGTTTCCTTCTTTCTCCATATTGCTGCCTGGTGTGCTCAGCGCTTGGAAGCCTAAGAAGCCCAGTGACTTTTCTGAGCTGAGAATTCAAGAAAGAGAAACAAAAAGATTAAGCAGTAAGCCCACGACCAAGGGCTGTTTACACATCCAGTCACTTCATCTTCCATCACTGGGAGCAACCACTGTTTTATGCATGCAAAACTGGAGGCTGAAGAAGACTTGGCGTTTTTTTATTTTCTTTTTGCCTTTTTGGTGTACGGTATTTATTTGTGGTCTCTTTCATTTTGTAAAAGATGTGAGGTAGCTTAAGGAAATTCCTGCAGAGCTCTAGGATTAAATACAAAGGAGAAAATTAAGACAAATGTGAAATAAAATGGAAGCAGTAGAGCCAGGCGTGGTGGCGCACGCCTGTAATCCCAACACTTGGGAGGATGAGGCAGGAGGATCGTTGTGAGTTCAAGAGCAGCCTCAGCTACAAAGTGAGCTCAAGGCCGGCCTGAACTGCATAGTGAGACCCTGTCTCAAAAAGACAAAAAAAAAAAAAAAGGCAGTAGAAAGTGCAACTCAGAGTATGAAAAAGATAGTCAAGAGCTTGGAGACCAAGTGGATATACAGTGGGCTGATATTCGTTAGTAGTGAGTTTCAGATTAGGCTCTGAGATTTCCACTGCCATAAGAGTGAAGAAAACAAAGTGTTGTCAGAAATTTTTCAGAAATACCGGACACTGACACCTGAAAGGAATTTCTATAGGCGAGTCCCTGAAAAGCACAATAGTTGCTACAGTGTATTTTCTACTTACCATAAATATAGTACAGGTTGAGTATCCTTTATCCACAATATTTGGGACCAGAATTATTTGTTTCAGATTTTGAAGTATCTACGTACACTTTATTCATCTAAGATGCACCAAAATCAACAACTTATTTGGACATCACAGTGGGTGTTGGAGGTCAGGTTTCAGATGTTCGCATTAGGGGTGCTCAAAAGCGTAGTAAGTTCCATAGAGCCAACAAGAGCTGGACTCACTTAACCAAGTCACCCAACTGTTCAGCAACAAAGTCCTGACTGCAACCTGTCTTTTGATTCTTTGTTCGCTCACAGTACTCGCCACTGGTTGTTTACAATCTCTTCTGTTTACTTACAGAGAGAATTTTCTAAGTATCTAAATACTGCCCTTGTGAAGGTCAGCGAACACCCACTTGAGGCTAACAGGAGCATTTGAAAATTAGTAACAACATTAGTAACAACAGCAGTGGATACTGTTTTGTGAATGTTTACTAGGTAATAGACAAAGTGCTAAGTGATTTACGCGGTGTCCTACAGAATTCTCAGCAGGCCCTGTGTGGTGAGCTCGAAAGTTCACAGAGGCGGAGCAATTTAGGCTTAAGGTCAAATGACTCCTAAGTAACCTAGCTGGGATCTGAACCCAGGTGTTTCTGACCCACCGCCCTTAGTTTTAATGGCAGTTCTCACCCTGGGGAAGGTGATGTCACCTTGGATGTTCCAGGGGCTGTGGCAGGTGGATTTGAGGCCAGAATTATCCGTGGTCCTGGAGGTCAGAGATGAGGACCACCAGTCCACAGACAGCAGAGAATTCCAGGACAGTGGAATCTGCCATCTATCCCAGCCTAGGTTTGGTGTCCTCTGCTCACAATGACAGCGCAGTGGGAAGCGGGTCTTCCCGTGTCAGGAGGCAGGATTGGATATCTGCTTTACAATTCTGGACTGGAGCAGATCTCGGAGGAAAAGATGTGGCTTGTTTTACACCTGTGTGCTTCCAGCTCTGAGTAAACATCTTTGGTCTCAGAGGTCTCCAGGACGCGATCTTTCTGAGGTCTTGGTTAATGAAAATACTTGGGGTGAAAGGCAGGAACAACTTCTGAACTGGCTCTGAGACAGAAGGACTGCTGGCAAGAATAATTTCCATCACTTCTTGTCCAAACATATTGATATATTTAAGTAGAGAGCAAAGGGAAGTGCTTCAGTTTCACTTGAAGGGAATCCGAATGAGAATAACCAAAGATTTGGGTTGGCTCTGGCAAAAGAGACGATGCTGTTGGTCCATACATTCAGCAAATGTTCATTATATGCTTATCCCATGCTCCATTGTGCTTGGTTTATGGTCACAAAGGGGTGTATAAGACCCAGAGCTGCCTCCTGGAGGAAATGAACAGGTGCATAGTACGTCCACGACAGTGAGTGACGAGTGTCTAGGAGTTATGTTTCTGTTCGGGTAGCAAAAGGTGGTACAGAAAGGTAGCCTTGCCTTTTCTTATCTTTCTTTTTTTTGGTTTTGGTTTTTCTCCGGTACCAGGAACCGAACTCACGACCTTGCGCTTGCCCGGCAGGCGCTTTGCCGCTGAGCTAAACCCCCAGCCCCCTTTTCTTATCTTTCGACGGCACACCAAACTTTGTGTCCATCTCCCTGCGACCTCATTCCCTGTGTGTCTCTCTGTGCCTTCTCTTCTTTGAAGAGCACCATTAAGTGAATTTACGGCCCTCCTTAATCCAGTATAACCTCATTTTAACTAGCTATACCTCCAGTGGCCTCATGTCCCAATAAAGACACATGCCAAAGTTTTAGGTGAATATATATTTGTGGGAGATACTATTCAACCCACTACTTGGGGGAAAGAATGCTTTTGCAAACCATTGAGGTCAGTGGAATCAAGACATGTTTACAGAACTGTATCACACTATTCTGGGTTCCAGAAAAGAATAGAGGGATACCAGAAAAGTATGTTCTGGCTAAATCATGGAGGGTTGGAAAGTAATGTAGACATTGGACTCAGGAGACAGACAGGAAGCCAGGAAAAGTTTTGATTAGATTGCCAGTGAAACACTGGTTAACTACAATTTAACAGAAGTTGAAGCAAGGGATTGGTAGACTCATACTTTTCAGGAATTATGGACTTAGGTCAGATCAGCATTTGGTAAGATTGGCCATGATTTGATGAGTTTCACTTAGAAAACAATGAAGCCCTGACACTTAAATTTCAAGGTGAATAATAGAACTTTTGGATTTTCTTTCATTTGAGCAACATTTGTTGAACAGTCGTTATGTGCTAGCTGTGTGTGTGTGCGCGCGCGTGTGTGTGTGTGTGTGTGTGTGTGTGTGTGTGTGTTCCTGGAAATTGAATCCAGGGCCATGCACATGCTAACTAGGTAACAGTGTTTTAAGTTCTAGAGGGGTTACAGCCGTAAAGAGTCAAACAAGGTTTGTGCACTGAAGGCATTTAACTTTAGGAAGGAAAAAGACAATAAACAAGAGAATAAGTAGTTTCATGAGCATATTTCTGTTCAGTTTATCACATTAAGGGCAAGATGCCTCATGCACAGCCTCGTCCGTGTATACCTTGCACCCCTAATATTGGGCCTAAAAAACTGGGCACAGATTGAAGTTTAAGGATGAAGCACAGCTTTGCCAAACATTTACACTGCGATTGCTAGCCGTGTAATCCCTGCTCCTGGTCTCCATTTGGCATGTTAATTTCATGTTTTTGCTTGCGGTGGGTACGCAAGTGCTAGCTATATCCAAACCTAGCAGGTAGAAGTGGAGAAGGGCAGGTCACTAATTTATCTAACCATATCATTTTTCTTTTGAGAAAAATATCTGCAGTGAGACTGCCCATCTTTTTCGTTTAGTAAAATTATATGCTTGGGACCAACTTTACCAAATACCTTTTTCTGTTAGAAATAGAGGTGCAGTTTGTTATGCACTCTGTTTTATTTTGTTTTTTGTTTTTCTTCCAGTACCAGGAATCGAACTCACAACCTTGCCCTTGCCAGGCAGGCACTGTGCTACTGAGCTAAATCCCCAGCTCCTGTTCCCCACTCTGTCTAGCTTGAGCATGGCAGCCTCGCTAATGTCACAGCTCAGTACTCATTACCAGCAGCTGCTTTGCTTGTATTTATGTGTCTACTTAAGGTTTTATTTTAGGATGATTAAAAAATTAATAATGCTGCTTTCTTGATGCCTTTTTTTTTTTAAATTTTTCAGCCTTTGTCACTTGTTTAAGAATAACTGATGAAGCTTTGCTTTGGCCCAAAAAGGGCCTCGCTTTCCTGGGTGGTAGTTGGTGCACCAGCTTTGTCTAAGTAGCTTTGCCTGCTTCTTTTTGATTTGGTGTGTTCTGGGGGAAAAAACCCTATGTGTTGTGGCTTGCCTCTCTGGAAGAATTTTTACTCAGTGATTTTGGACTCTGCAGTGATATGGTATTTTGTTGATTTGAAAAGAAGTGACCCCTCTGTCATTGCGATTCTGCAGATTTTTCTACTGAGCTCCCCACAGCTTCATGGGGTATACTTCTCAGCTCCTGAGACACCTTAGGACACTGGTGCTTCAGTGTGGCATTCCTTGAGTCTGGCCTCCTGGGTTTCATGTTCCACTGCAGCACCAGGCATCTTTTAAGTAAGAGATGAGAGACACAATCCATCTTACAGTCAAACTGGTGAAGTCATAATATTTTTGCAAGCCGTACTGGAAGCTGAGTCACAATGAGTGTGATTCAGGCCTTGATTTCGTACCCAAGGTAATTTTGAGAGGTGTGAAGTCAAGAAAGACCCACAGTTGTCACTGCCCCCACAGAAAAAAGCCCTCAGCACTGAGCTGCTGTAGCCAAGGCAGGACCTGGAAACGTTCCAGTCTTTAGCTTTGTGTCCTTCGCTTGCCTGGGTAATGAATAAACTCATTCAGAAAACACTATCGATCATTTGCCCACCTTTCAAAGTTTGTCTTTTATTTTTTATCATGGTTATCTCAGTTGTTTTTAGAAAGGAAGAAAGGTTAACCTTTTTCTGAAATTAATGTCATATTTAGTAAAATTCCCTACAAATGAGATACTCGGTATATGGCTAATGTCTTGGTTTGGAAATGAGAAGTCACATTTCTGAGTAAACAGGTGGGGAAATGACCTTTTAGCAGTTCCAGAAAGTACCTGAAATACGTTCAGAGGTAAATGTTTACTTTACAAACCTTTAGCTTTTTCCTATTTTAAAATATTACGTATAAAGGACGAGTACACTACAGACAGATGGGAAGCTCCCCGAGAGTTTCTTAGTACAGTGCAAGAGGCAGGCGCTAGCTGAGGTCAGATCTGTGCTCCCAGACTGCCAACCTGTGCTAAACTGGAGACGGGACTTTGGGGGAGTATCTTAATTGATCACTTCTCAGTTTCCACATCAATGAACTGGCGAAAGATATATATATATTTTTGTTTGTTTGTTTTGGTGGTACCAGGAATCGAACTCATGACCTTGTGCTTGGCAGGCAGGTGTTATGCTGCTGAGCTATATCCCCGTCTCTAAGACTGGTGAAAATAAAACTTACTTTATAGAGTATTATGAAGCTAAGAAGTCACCGTGAGGTGCAGAACACCTAACTGCTTCAAACAAGGCAGGCACTTCATAAATTATAGTGGGCGTTACTTCTTATTATTATTATTACTATTATTATTATAACTCCAGGGCTTTATTCTGAGTATTCATGACTCTGCATAAAGTTCACTTAGATACACATAATGAAATTGGAAACTGTAAAGAAAACTAACCGACGTGGTAGAGGAATTGCAAAGAGACCCATGAAAATAGTTTGAAAGAGCTGATTATTTACAATGGGAAGTGAAGACAGAGAGGGAGAGAACGATTGTCTTAGCATGTTTGGGGCACCATTATGTGGAAAGGTGTACCCAACTGATCTCCATCTCCACTGAGGTCTACAAAACCAAGGCAGGCAGGACAGACCAGAGCTGAAGAATACATGAGAAAGCGGTAGAGACGACACAGTGTAACTTAGGAACCACAGAGCCCAAGGGTAAGTGCGGCCTCGAGGAAGGAAGCTGCCAAGAGAGCTCAGCTTCCTATGAATTGTACACCCTGCTGTGCAGCCTGACCCCTGGTGCCCGCTGCTGGGCCCCATGTCCTGCCATGTCACCACCTTGCTCATGGGTCATGCCAGCCACTGCGGAGCAGTGGGAGGTCATCGTAGGTCTCACCTGGGCTCACTCTTGCCTTCTGAGCGCACATTAGTCTGCAAGCATTTTTGGTGGTCACTCGCAGGGAGGAGGAGCTAGCATCTAGTGCATGGAGACCAGGATGCTGATGATTCTACAATGCCCAGGCCAGCTTCCTAGTACAAAAATTGTCCAGCCCCAAAATGTCAATCACACTGCTGTCCAGAAACCCCGAGTTAGAGTAATAGTCTGTGCTAGCACAGGTTCCTTAGGACTCACTGCTTTACGCCAAAGCATTTTTTCCTTCATTACACCAAACCGTGGAACTGAGTGGTTAGAAGACTGTTAAGTATTTGCTATTCTAAGAAATGTGTGGATTACATTATAATGATGTGTTTCTTTGCTGTCTGCTCTACTTTGGTTTAAAAATATTTGTATTTCTAAATAAGCAACTGAGTCTTTGTATAGGGAAAATAACATATGCATTAGAGCTTCGGGGTGTGTGGTGCAGACACCAACCTCCACGCTTGCTCTGCCCAGCATTTTGCTAGCCAATTAATTGCTGCATTGAAGGACTCCCAAGGCAGTGAGTGCCCTGAAGTTAGACTGTGGGGAGGCTAAGGCATGACGTTGGGTGGGAAAATTTCCCGGGGCCTGAGTACAGGCCAACAACAAAGGGAGGACGTACCGGAGAAGCCAGTCACATCAGCGCACAAAATACTGATGTTCTGGAAACATTGCTGTTCAGCGGCTCTGGGAATAAATCATGCTTTCTTGACTTAATAATACATTGCTGTTTCTAAATAATATAAGTATATGTTGTGTGCGTCCATTTGTAAACTTTCGGAGTCTTCTAAATTCCAGACACAGCATGAAAACACACACTATATTTGATTCTTGCATAAATAGCACAGATTTTAATTTTATCCCAGTTCTGGATATCTGGCGCATGTGCTGATACTCTGGGCAGACTGGTGTGAAATTTAATTTGAGCAGTTAAACACAAGGGTGAGAGAGTGCAAAATAAACAAGCACACGCATTTCCAGCCCTACAGCATTTGGTATGTTAACAGGAAAAACACCCAAATCCTCACTCTCTAGTTTCTTCCCATTGTGACAGTCAGATCAAGGATGGTCTGAAAAGGCGAGATCTTCTGTGTCTCCCCAGGACCTCTACTTCCCCTGGATGTTGCCTGCAGCCATTTCTTTTGTGAGCTCATTGTAGTTAGAGTTTTAGTGAAAGAAACTTTATTTTTCTGGTTTGCTATTAGATTAGAGATCCTCTTGGTTTTAGAATAGAAGAGTCACCTTGTGAACATCTTAAAAGGAGAAATGAGAGAGGGATTGTAAATACTGACAATAATGGATCTGCCGTGCGGTAGACCTGGTTCACATCTCAGCTTTGCCAGTGACGTTGCCTGAGCTTTGGAGAATTACTGGAATATGCTCTTCCTCATTTTACTTACTGTGAAAATAGGAACGATGCCAGCCTCACGGAGGAGTTGGGAGGGAGGTGCTGATACAGTGGTGGCACATAGGTCCCCAAGTAATATCTGTTTCCTCTCCTCTTCCGGAAATCCATAGGTCCAGTCTCAGGAACATTTGCTGAGTGAGAAGGGCACGCTAATGGCTGTTATCCGTAACCATTACAGTTGGTAAAAATGGCAGCCATTCCCATTCCTGCCCTCACCTCAGCCACACCCACTGAGGGATTATGGAGCAGCTTTCAGCCGGCCCCACCTTTATTGATAGGTCATTTTGGGTGTTTAGTATATACAGAACCTTGGTCTTCAAAACACCACTTATACCAGAGAAATCTGTTGACTGGGGGGGTTGAGGCGGGCAGTGCGTATGTGTGCAGACCACAGACCCAGACCCATGTGAAGTAGCAAAATTGATGGGGTGAGTTTCTTACATTCCAGAAAAAAAAAAAAAAAAAAAAAAATCTGCTTGCCATCAGTAAAAATGCCCATCTTTCCATTCAATTTGTCTCCACAGAAGAGCGAGTTGTCCCCATTGAAGTGTGCCGTTCCAAACTATCAAAATACTTGCAGGGAGTAGTTTTCCGCTGTGATAAGTGTACCTTCACCTGCTCCAGTGACGAGAGCCTCCAGCAACACATAGAAAAGCACAATGAACTGAAACCTTACAAATGCCAGCTCTGCTACTATGAGACCAAGCACACGGAGGAACTGGACAGTCACCTTCGGGATGAGCATAAGGTACTTGCCCAGAACTTCCTGTCTCCCACCCTCAGCACTCCAGTGGGGAGGGGTCCAACGGAGAGACAGGTGAATTTTGTCATACCCACTGTGTACAAGACAGAGACATGCACTAAAATAATTATTGAGGTGAAGCTCAGTTTTTTGATAATAAAAGAAAGCTGAGGTCATTTTAGAGAACTATAAAACACAGGAGGAAAGGTGAATCACCCATATCCCAAATCTAACTGCTTGACATTTTTGGTCTCTTTTTTATACCCATTTTCCATTGTGTTACACAATCCTGAGTATACTGTACAAAAAATATTGTATCTTGACTTTATAAAAAATTCCTGACAAGAGTATTTTTCTATATTGTTCTAAACACCTTGTCACAAAGGTTGGCAAATTCCTCTAAGGGCCACAGAGTAAATATTTTAGATTTTACAGGGCATTTGTGGCATCAGCAGCAACTGCTCAAATCCGCCATTATAGCAAGAAGGGAACAGCCATATGTGATACATAAATGCATGAACGTGGCTGTGTTCCATTAGAACTTTATTTACAAAAATAAGCTACAGTCTGTGGGCCCATAGTTGCTGACCCCTATTTGTCTGATAGATCACCATGTCCCTCAGTCAAGTAGGTTGATTCCAACATCTCGTGAACTAGAAAGAGATTCAAAGGCATCACCATGTATATCTGAACATTACAAAGATTGTAAAATATGTTTTATTTAGGGAAGATAATTGAGTTTTTAAAAGATAGGCATGAAATAGAAGGTTTATGAAAAACATTATCTTCCAAAGGTTTTTGAGCAGAGGATCAAATTTATGCAGAACAGCTTCTTTACTCTGCACAGGGTCTACCTGGCATATCATGAACCAACATGGTCATTTCTGGTTGGAGGTTTTGCCCTGACTACAAGAGGAGCTCTGATGAGTATTTGCTTGATGAAAATACAGTGGTGCTTCAGTTCATGAACTTGATTCTTTCCACAATTCTGGTCCCAAACCAAATGAGAAGAAAACTGAATCAGATTAAACGATTACATTCAGTGTGGACCTTATGGGGAAATTTGATTCAATTCTTATCCAGTTTAGTTTGCAACCAGAATCATGGAGAGAACTGAGCTCCTGAACTGAGGCACCACTTTAGTTTATTGAAGTCCTTTCTGATGAGCTGAGTCCAACACGTCTACCAAGTGCTCACTTAAGATGCAGCGAAAAGCCATTCTGATGCGGTTTCCGTTTTCTTTGCTTTGTATCCTTATTAGCAGAAAGGTGGCTCTTCTTTTCTAGCCACACAAACCTAGGTTATAAAGATTTTAGTCGGAATCATCTAGACCTAAGAGTTGGAGTTTCTGTATGGATTGTTGAGACAGGATACGGAGTTTTGTCTCTTGTCCACAATTCAGTGGTTTTATGTCAACTTTACTGTTTTGGAATGTAATGAGTTTCCAGTGCCTAGCACACCAAAGGAGGGAGGAAGGCCTGAACTGCGCCATTTAAAACTTTCAATACCTTTTCTTTTTTTTGTTTGTTTGTTTTTTTGTTTTTTTTTTTTTTTTTTTTTTCTCCGGTACCAGGAACCGAACTCATGACCTTATGCTTGCCAGGCAGGCGCTTTGCCGCTGAGCTAAATCCCCAGCCCCTTCAATATCTTTTCTAATTCATACTTCCTGAGCATTTCTCACCCAGACTTAAGGGGAAATCATTTGTTTCACATTGAGCTTTCTATATTTCTTTACACATATTTATGTAACCAGCTTTTCATTATAGTATTAAAACCTTCAAGTGATTATTTTGGGGCACAGCAAATCAAGAAGATAAATTCTTCCCCAGTTGCTGTCCTGGGGGAAGTAGCTTATAAGTCACTGGAGAAATACAGAGTGTGTTAAAAACCATAACACACACAGAACCACAGGCTTCCTGAGCTGCAGGTGGAACAGTGAGGCTTTAGGACGTGGGGCAGGGAAATAGTTTGCTCTGAAAAGTCAGGGTTAACTTTAGAACTTTTAGAGACAAAAAAGACCTAGGTTTTAATGCTATCTCCATAGTTTGTTGTACCTGCTTTGGAAAGTTACTTACATTTGTAGTTCTGTTTGTTTTCTGATTTGTAAATGGTAATTGCTACCCCATTGTCAGAAGTTTTATAAGATCAGATGAAGTCCTTGTATCTCCAGTGGTTGAAAATTCAATATCTTCCACAGAATATCTGTGAATTGAATTGTGCTCAAATATAACAATAGTTATACCCCTTGGAAAGGCACTTATGTTCTCAAAGACCTGGAATATATTATAAAATCACCAATTATCTGCATTTTAGACAGCCTTGGATGTTATATTTTTAGTACATCTTACGTTCTTTTTCTCATGGTTGACTAGTTTATTCTACTGAACACCTAATCGAAGCAAAAGAATTGCCATTTCAACATGCCTAATGATTTTCATCTTTGTCTCAATTATTACTAAGTTTATGAGACTCGTGCTTATTACTTTAGCAACACTTTCCTTTTCTCATTTTCTATTCCTTTTTTTCCTAGATAATGAGTGCAAAGTGCAATTAGATTTTTTAAATAGTTGTCCAGACATTTATTTTATAAGTAAAGATAGCCGTGCTAATGAAACTGAAGTTTTAGCTGATAGGCAGTGGCATTATGCACTAACTGAAAATGGTAATTCATTAGGGTGAACTGTACGCAAAAGTCTGATTGCAGCATTCATAGACGCATGGGGTGTCAATGTACCAAAGAGAAGTTTGCTGAGAATTCAAATATAAAAGTCAAGGATTGCAAGGCAAAAGACAAAGAATTAAAAGTCTATATACAAGGATGGCTGGGCTAGATGTATTGCTGATGTCTGTGGTTTATTGAAAGGAACGGTCAGTGCTTAAAATTTTCTTTTTTCTTGACCAGTTTTGCACGCTTGAATCTGGTAATCAGAATGACAGATCTGAAAAACAACAATATGCAGTATAAGAACCATTGTTGAACTCCTACCATCTTGTATGGTGAAGCTCTGCATCATTTCCATTTTTTTTTTTATTACTTGTTACTGTCTTTGATGGTTTGATCAATCTTACATTCTTATGTCTGGTGGACTGAGCAACTTTGCTGAAGATAACAGTATATAAGGTAGCAACCATTGTTAATTCCTATCATTTTGTTTTGAGGTCATGTATTGTTTTTGTTGTTTTTGTGTTATTTTGATTTTGTCTTTAGTGTCATTTTGTTAGTTTTCTTAATTTTTAAAATCATAAAAAAGTAAAAAAGAAGAATTAGAAAGGAAAAAATATAACCAGTTTTATCTACAGACAGTATAATCTTGGCAACTAGAAAATCTTAATGAATCTGTGAGAAGCTGCTAGAACATTAGTGACTTTAGCAAGGTTGCAGAATATAAAATCAATATACAAAAATATAATTATATGTGTATATATATAGATATAGATATATTTTGTTTTGGAGACAGGGTCTCACTGTGCAGTTCAGGCTGGCCTTGAGCTCTCTTTGTAGCCCTGGCTGGTTTTGAACTCACAGCAATCCGCCTCAGTATGTATTGTTATATACTAGTAGTGGGGAATCTGAAAATGAATGCAAAGTAACATCAAAAAAAATATATACTTAAGAATAAATTTAACCCAAGAACTACCAAAGCTACAATGAAAACTACAAACAGTTGCTAAGGAAAATTTGCAAAACTAAATTATTATAACATATACCATCTTCATGGATTATAAATTTTAACACTGATAATTCTTCCCAAACTGATCTACAGATCCAACATAAACTCTGTCCAAAACTCAGAAAGGTTTTTTGGCACAAATTGACAGGCTGATCCTAAAAATTATATGGATATACAAAAGATCTATAATAGTCTAAACAGGATAGAAAAAAGAAAAAAAATTGGAGGGCTCACCCTTCTTGCTTTCAAAACTTACTATAAAGCTACAGTAACTGGAAGTGTACGGTATTGTCATAAAAACAGGTGAAGCATAAGAGAAAGCCTACTGCAATATGTGAAGTCAGTTGATTGTTATAAAAGGTGATAAGAAGCAGTGTTTTTTTTTTCAGAATTGGTACTGGAACAGTTGGATTTACACATGCAAATTGTGAGCCTTGATGCTTACAACCACTCAGCACAAAAATCCAATCAAAATGTATCATATGTGTAACCCGACACTTCTATAAAAATGTGATAGCGAGTTGAGAAATTCTTAGATATGACACAAAATATATGGACATTCAAAGAAAAAAATTTTTTAAAAGAAAAAAAATTTAATAAATTGGGTGTCACCAAATTAAATTTTGTTCTTTAAAAGACACCATAATGAAAATGAAAAAGCAAGCAACAGAAAAAAAGCAAATATTTGCAAGTAATTGTGTAAGAAAGGACTTTGATCAAAATGTACCAAGAATTCTTACAACTCATAATGAGAAGATGAGCAACTCAATTAAAAATGAACAAAAGATATGAATAGATTCTTTACCAAAGATGTTATAGACATGGTAAATGAAGACATAAGATGTTAAACATGATTTGCCAGTGGAAAAATAGAAAATTAAGGCAACAGTAATATTTTATTATTGTATCCTATTGAATGACAAAAATTAAGAAAGTACCAAAATAGTAAGAGTGTATGAAACTAGAAATCTCATACATTGCTGCTGGTAGTGTAAAATGGAATGATCACTTTGAGTTTAAAAATCAAACGTATACTTAGCATCTGACCAGCAATCCTACTCTAGTGGTGATAAGCAAAGTGTGGTGTACTATACCTATCCAGTGGAGTGCCACTCATCAGTGAAAAAGGTTATACTACAGCGGTACCTCAGTTCACAAACTCAATTCTCTCCCTGATTCTGATTGCAAATCGAACTGGATGAGAACTGAATCAAATTTCCCTATAAGGTCAACACTCAACCTGACCATTGAATTTTATTCAGTTCTTGTCCACCTCGATTTGCAACTAGAATTGTGGAAAGAATCAAGCTCGTGAGCCGAGATACCACTCCATGA